AAGATCTAATGCCTAAATAGTATTTGTAACGCTGATTTTCTCAATCATCAAAAACCACTAATTATATATCATAATTCGAAATAATAATGGAAAGTTACTGAACATGTGCCAAAAATCACCGTCGTCCAATCACATTACAGCATAACTATCAAGCCACGAACCAAATGTGATTATCTAACAAGCACGAACCAAGTGTGTTTCTGTGGTTAGGGACTTATGACTAAAGCTTTAGTTTTTAAAAAATTCATAACATAACTTCTTAGAAATTTATACAAAGTATTAGATGCAAAGAGTGTACTCAATTAGTGCAATTTCCCATTGACTTCGGACTTCATAAAGGAAGTTCTAAAAGCACAAAAATCGATTATCTAAAATGTTACAGGGTTACAGGTGAAGGTGGTCTGGAAGCACCTGAACCTGGCAGACAACATGTTACAACAATCCTAATAAGATTGAACTGACAATTTAAAACATAACAGGACATATGTATATTAGAACAACAAAAGTTGTACAACTTCTACAGATTAGGATCAGATTCTTCATTCTTCCAAGCAGGGGGAATGAATTGTTATGGTCTAGAACATAAATCAGCTGATGCGAAATAAGAACACTGACCCAACTCTTTCTTGGAAGCCTAATTCACAAGGAAGCCTCAATAATAGGTTTCCCGTGGAAACAAAGGATTTTCCCTAGGCAAGTTCCTCTGCGAATACTCAGTAATAGGTTTCACCTAATATGAAAAACGTTAGCTAACTAACACCTCTGACTCTGCAATAGAAACAAAAAGGATTTTTCTTTGAGAAAGAGATGGTACATTTGGTGCCCTGACAGAACAAAAAATTACCATAATGTCAGAGTAATGGTTGTTCACATGTAGTTTGGCAAAATACAAAGTCCTTTTGGTAAAATTCTATCCACTTGAATCAAATCACCCTTTATAGTTTGAATTTAAATGGTAATGCCCAAAAGTTACAGAACTGTTGAGACATGTTCAGAATGCCAAGGTGAGAAATTTCCAGCAGCTGTAAAAAGGAAAGTATTAACTATTTGTTATTGTGCAGTATAGTGATTAATTCTCATTGAGCGACTTTAAATCATATAATTGTCAATTCCAGACAGCTGATGCGAAATAAGAACCGTGCTAGGAGTATCGGAAGGATGAAGGTACAAAGAATGATTAAAGTCGATTACGGCGGTATCCAACGAGGGTAACGCTATCGGCAGCGGCATTCTCAAAGGGGAAAAAGCAAAGTATGTCGAGGGAAAAAAAGAAAGAAGAAACATATTTTGGCAAAGGGCCCAGAAAAGACAAAAGCCCAAAGTTGTGATAATCTAAAAGGTAAAAATGTTAAATCAAATTTATTATTAAAATTTTAAGCGATTTTATCTAACTTTATTTGAATTTATATATCAATATAATAATTTATATAAGTGAATTAGGTTATGCCACCACATTAAATTAAATAAATTGTTATTATCTAGTTCTAACATTTTTCGCTAATGAGATATTAATGCAATAAAATCTAAAGACAAACTGAATAAAGCAGTTGACTTGAACTCGGCAATAATGGGAATATTAAATTCATAGATCAAATAATTTGAACTTTCGAAAGAATAGAAAAATTACAGCAATAATACCGAAAACCCTTTTTTCTTTTCTATAAACCGGCAAATTACAAAGTAGACTTTACTACTAATAATTTTACCAAGTGTGCAGGCATGGTCCCCGCTCGCTACATCTACAATTATTGTCACTATTATGTAATCAATATGGCAAGCAATCATTCATCAAAGTTTTCTATGTTTTAAAATATTTTCTTTGTCTTATTTGAAAATTTTAGTTTATAAATCGAATTGTGCGTAAAATAGAAAAAGAAAAATTGATTTATTTTTTTTAATTTAATAAATTATAAATTTTTTTATTTAACTTTATTATTCTTATTTTGATAATTAAACTTTTTTTTTTCTAATTTACTTAATAAATTTTTAATTTTATTATTCTTATTATGGTGTTAGATCATAAATGGAAGGGTGATATGACAGTCATGTGTGTTTACATAGAATGCTTTTTATCGACATGGAATTAATGTATCACCTACGTCATTCTCCATTTTTAGTTTCATTTTCTTCCTCCAAAGATTAAAGTTTTACAATTTCATTTGTGTTACATTGATACTACAATTATCACTCGTTAATGTATTCTTGGATCATTCAAGATATCGACGAAGTTGCCTATTTATCTACTACCACTCAATCAATCTATAGTTTACTTAAGTAGTTTTAAAGCTCGAAAAGTTTAATCTTAAATTCTAAGCTTATGAAATCCTAAATTACTTTAATTTGTAATATTAATCTTTTAATCGACATGGAATTCAAATATATAGCTCCCTTCTCCTTTCTCCACCTCCCTATCATTTAGATATAGAAGGAAATGTGTCATCATCGAGAAATCAAAAGCAATGTGAAATTAGAGGTTTTCACAAAAATGAATAAAGTTTTGGGGTTATTTCACAATTTTTGAGAACAAATATATGTTTATAACTCCGTTCAGTGTTTTACGATATAATGACCAAAATATGAGTAAATTAAAAGTTCGGTGATTAAATTGAAAAAGTTTACACTTTAGTACTAAAATAAGAGTAAGAATAAAATTGAGTGATAAATTTTGTAATTCTCTCTTTTAAATTTATATTAATCTTAAATTCAATCTCTATACAATTTTTTCTTGTTATCGAAAAATATGACTAACGACTTATTAAGTATCAAATATGAACATCTTTAAATTTACATGATTAAAATGAATTCGTATGATCAATATTATAAATGTGTTTTCAAATAGAGATTGTTTATGAATGGTGTAAGAAAAGGTAAAGGAGTTGGCATGTAAGAAGATGAGCCTTTGGCCGAAGAGGCAAGATTGTTATGAAGTCAAATCGTTTGAATAATTAGATGCAAACTGTTGAGGTTTTTCCAATCAGAAGGATCATTTTACATTTGAATGAAGGGGAAGGCGCCAACGGCGGACAAGGGAGAAAGCTTTCGACACGAGGCATGTGACCTTATATTTCTTTTTCTTTTTTCTTTTTTGACTAGAGAAAAACTTAATATTTGGAAAGATGAAAGAGAAATAACATATTCTTCTATTTCTAGACACTTTAGGCTGGTGTCTTGTTTGCTGCTTGCTGTTTATCCATCTCTGCATTGGGCTTTTTGGGCTATGTGGATGTTTGGTTTTAGCCTACAATTGTGGACATATAGCATAGAGATTCAACATTCTCTTCCTATTGCTTTAGCTCTATGAACGCCAAACATGGGCTTTAATTTTATGTTAGACGATGAATTTATTAAATTTTAAGAGACGTAAATAAATTATTAAAAGAAAATATAAAATGATTCAAAAAATTTAGGAGGAGCTATCTCCACCAACCCCTCCTCCATCACCGACTGTAATAATTATATGTCGAGCCCTATCATCTTGTGTGTACGAACCTTTTGAGTAGGAAATGTTGTTTGATAATAAGAATCGTTCCTTTCTTTATCAAACGTTTGCCCAACAGAAGGAGAACCTGTCCTGGCTATACGGTTCTTTGATAGGGATTTTATTTGCCATGCGGTCTCCAGTTAAAAAAAAATTAGCTGACTCTTATTCCCATATGTAATGGAATAAGGGGAGGTAGGATAGTAGGCTGCCCCCAACACCATGTTGAGAGCAGCTTCCGTGAGAGACCTCTAAATTATGAAATACCCTCCGTGAGGCTCGATCACACGACCTCAAGTTTAAGAACCTTGCGCTCTACCAACTGAGCTGGATGTTCATATTTAGCCATATATATATATTCAGTAAAGCTGCCAGAAATTGAGCATCAAGCTAGTTTGGCTTTGCATCTCCATTGTGCATTTAGCTATGATCTTGTTGTAATACGTAATTTGAATTGATTTCCTTGAAGTAAATCATTATCTTTTCACGCACAGGTGAAATTTGGGGTCTGAAAAAGGAATCTGATCCATTCAAACACTCGGGCAAAAGCAAATGGTCCACAAAAGAACCTTTTTGTTTTAAGGGAAAAAACATAAATATTATGTTTTTCTAATTTAAATTTATAAAATATTATTTTATGTTAATTACCTAAATGAACTCAACTATAGTTTAAACTCATGATTTTGTTATGCATATCTAACTTGATAAGCAGTTATTAGCTAAGATTCCATTAGCAGTAATTACCGAAAGATACATACAATTCCTCAATTTTTGTGGTATGTGACATGATAAATTTGATTCATTCTCTAACATCCATACCCATATTGAAGTATATGAATATAATTCTTATTAAATTTATTAATATAAAATTATGATCCATCGATTACGACTCATCAACTTGAATAATTTCATATTTTTTATTCGATACTACTCGATCGAACGATCACCTATAGTTTCAATTGTACCATTGTTGTAGGATTGTAGTTCTAAAAACTTTTAATTTTTTATAATTTATTTTTTAAAATTAAGACCAGATGAATTTTTCGATTCGTAAATAGGTTTGATAAAAATTGACGACTTCAATTGTATCAAATTATTTGATTAAAAAAAAGATATTTGATTTAAAAAATAATTAAAACATTAAACACAATCTAATAACTAACACCATTTATTTAACTTCGTATAAAATCTTTTATTAGCTATAGTTTAATTATTATATAAATTTGATTATATATAGGTTTTAATTATAGATACTTTTTTATTAGTAATTATATATACTTAAATGATAACATTATGTAATTTTGAAGTGTCACGATATAAAGATTAAAAATTAAATTCAATAACTAATTGAAAAAGATTATCACATTTTTAAACTAAAATGAATAGGGATTTTCAAATAAAAAATGTACTAAATTGTTAGATTTAGGGGGAAATATTACATTATCCCAAATTTTAACGAATATATTGTTTAAAAATTCCTTTTTAATATAAATATCCCAACATTCGGACAGAGATCAAACAGAGAATCATCCAATAAAAACTGAGGGGGGAAAGGGAAAAAATACTTTTCATTTTTAATGCTCCCTTTCTCTGTCCTCATTCCTCATAAAAGGACTTTGATTCTGAGTGTTTCGCACCCCCCGTCTTCTTTTCCTTTTTTTTAATAAAAAAATCGAGCTCTTTTTGACGAAAGAAGAGAGAGAATTGAGAAGCTAGGCTATGGTGGAGGGCAGCAACTGCAGATTAATGGTGATGATGTGGAGACTATATTGGTTATGATGATGAGATGGCCGTTCTGAACATGGCTCAACAAAGCAAAACTACCAACACCAACAATGCCAACACCCCAATTCATTTGCAACACCAACAAGAAGTAAAGCCGACAATGTTTCACGACTTCCTGGGAACGAAAGCTTCAAATTCTTCTTTCGTTTTAGCCCCCAAGGCCAGTGATGCTAGGTTTCCAGATGCTTCCCCGTCTCCTTCAGCCTCCGTCGGTGCTTCTACTGGTGGCGGTGGTGGAGCTGGCCGTGGACCCATCTCTTGCACATCTGATCTGGGTTCTGGTTCGTTTCTCCATCTTTCCCTTAAAGATTCTTCCTTTTGTTTTTTGCGTCATTTTCTTCCACGCTAAAAAGTTTTAATGGAGCTGTTTTGCTTTTAGCTTTGCGTAATCTTACTTGGGTTTTTAGTTTATCTTCATTCCTTTTTCCTGCTGTTTTTATGTGTGATTTTCATGTTAAAACTTAGACTTAGCAGCTCATTAGGGAATGATGGAATGGGGAAAGTATGATTCTTGCCGTATGGTTTGATGGGTAGTTTTGCTTTTGGGTTTCGTACTCTGCTTGAGGCTTGACATGTTATATTTTCTCTGGTTATTTCAAAATAGAGTTAAAAATAAGGGGTTATGGTTTCACTTTCAGTGGTGAATTTGTAGTTCTCTGATTTGTCTACTTTTTGAAGGTAGGTTAAGCCATTATGGTGTTTGATTTTATGCTGCTGTGTGATGTCTTGATTTGGTACCTAATGTTGTCATCTATTGCGAACAAAAACTCTTTGACGCGTCTATGTTATGAGTATTTGTTCTGTCCTTTGAAACTTCTCTTTACATAATTGCAGTATTTGGTTAAGCATTATGGGTTGCTAGTTAGCTCTTACACGTTTTGCTCATAATTATATGCATATTATCTCAGTATGTTGGCATTCCTAATCTTCGAGCTTGTTACATTTGCTCATAATAATATGTAATCTTCTGAGATGAGATCATCCTATCTCGATTGAAGTTTGATCCATTTTCTCATCAATTAGTAGAAAGACAGGTCGGAAATCATCTTGAGGGGATTCCATACTACGGTCCAAGGAGCGAAATATCTGGGCCAGATATAAGCAACAGTTTGGCAGGAAGTAAGAGAAGTAGTTTGGATTCAGCCTTTTTGGCTCACGAATCTCTTGAGAGTTTGCATTTGATGAAGGTGTTTGTCGATATTGTATCTTATCATGTTTTACTTCTCTCTTCTCGAAGTGAAACAGAAACTGTCCATTTTTGTTAGTTATTCATGTGTACTAAATATTTTTCATTATGTTTGTGTTCAGATGCTTCGCAATGGGGCTGGAGAAGAGAGACCTAGAAGGTCCAATGAGGACGAAGTATTCCTTGGTATGAAGTCAATGAGGCATTCTTCTACATCTCGTATATTGCAGCCTCCCACTGGTAGCAGACTTGAAGCTAATGCTACCAAATGGGAGCTGTCTGTCCCCTCCGCTGTTCAGTATGGTTCCCGTGGTGGTCACTTTGCGCCTTTTGTGCACCAAGTATCTTCAAACAGGTTCAAGGATACAAATGTTGGTCCATCTGTTATCTCTCAGGCTGCAGCTGATGAAGGATCTAGAACTGGAATTAAAGGCCCTGGAATTTTGACTTCTATTAATGCTAGTAGTGTTCCCACTGAAAAGGGTTCATTCGGGATAGTGCCAAGTGGAGAAAGGCCAAAGTCTGGGGCTCATATTTCGGAAACAGAGTCTTTAGTTCCTCCGAGGTGAATATATTAGTCTGTTTCTTGCTTTTGATTGTCTTGATCTGCAATGAAAAGAAATGTAGAGATAATAAATGGAATGCTTTTTGTTGTGCTACAGTCAACTGGGATTAACAACTGCCAGCAGACAAATGACTATATTTTATGCTGGCCAGGCTCATGTCTTTGATGATGTGCATCCAAACAAGGTCAGTTTCTTATTATCTGCTAATGGACTTCAAGTTCATTAGGTTCAATTGTTTTCCGTCATGCTTGCTTGTAAACTTCTATATGATTCAAGTATTTCATCTAATTGAACATTCAGGCCTACGTCGGCTGGGGTAAGTTGAAATCATAGTTACATTATATAATCCATGAATTGTTAATGCAACTAGGTTTCAAATTTCTTTATTGCCGGTTGAATCAATGTCATGCAGAAGAGGACTGTTGAGCTTAACTCCATATATGGTATAACCCGAGATCAGACCTTCATCCGTGTCTGTGTGTATCGGACATAGAAGTTCACGTAAGATTTGATATGCCATCATGTTTTCTGAAATATCAGATGAGATAGATCTGCTGATTCTTTTGGTCTCCCTGATGGCTTGGAGTATAGGAGGAATGAACCTGTGATATGTTCCTTTCAATAATGTTGTCGATTCATGCACTTGGTTTAGTGGGACAGACAGATTGTGCTCTACTTGTTAAGATAACAGAATGCTATTCTTCACCAACATAGGAGGACTAACAGATTCCAAATAAAAGTTCTTACTCAAGCACAAGCTCTTTGCCACTCCACCTATTAATAAGCAGTTACCTTAGATCATTGAGAGACCGAAGATTGTTAGACATGGAAATCTGATTGCTTCTGATATTTTACGAAGTTCTACCATTTTCGCTTTGTTTTCTGAGGAAATTTGGTTTAAAGTGAAGACCTGGCTACATCAGTTTTGTCATAACTTGTAATGGCATATGCAAATTTATAATTCTGGTGATTAGAGTTTACCTGGCTGTTATGTTACCTGTTATATCTTGTTTCTTCATATCGGCTTTCGCTATTAGGCTGCCTCATGTCTGTTAATCACTGATTTTAGCTCCAGTTGGTGCAACATTTCAGCTTCGGGAATCTTTTATGATTCAAGTTTTCTGAAGCTTGAAGAGGGTTGCTTCTACAAACATGATATATAATGGCTGCATAATCTTAAAAGATGTCATTCGAGGGCTTCTTTTTCATGTGAATATCATGTCAGGTATTTTGTTTCTTAATATACATTTATGGTAATATATGCTGCATGGTTTTTTCAGGCAGATGTGATAATGGCATTGGCTGGATCGAACGGAGGATCTTGGTCAACAACATACTCTCCTAAATCTGCTGTGAAGACAGTTGGTGAAAACTATGTACCCAATGGGGAACCTGAAGCAGTTGGTAGCATCGCATTCACAAGGGAACTTCGGGGAAAGACAGCCCTTGCTGGTAATGTAAGTCAAGCAACCGGTTCCAGCGATCGAATCCCGATACAAACAGGTGACCCTTCTAATTCAGTATCCATTTTGGTTGCCAAAAATATGAATATGAATTATGCAATTGATAAGAAAGGGTTCAGTTTTAATATGTTCATGGGGTTCATTCATGTATAAAATTGTAGGCGTTCCTCAAAGCACAGTTATGTCGATGGATGGAAGAAATCTGGTTCAAGCAGCAGAACCTGGCACTGAAGATAAAAGAGAGGTATAAAGTTTAAGCATAGTTTGAGTCTGGATATTACAGAAATTGCAGATACCGACTTGCTGCTATCCCTACTTAGTAGGAAGAGCTATCTATTTCATGTCTGTCATTGATGCTGTAAACATGTCGAATTTTTAACTTATTTTCCTGGTAGAGCAGCATATAAGAACAGCTTCTTAGCTGAGTCAATTAGCAACGAACCCTCTGTGTTTGCGTAACCGACGACGTCCATCAAATTGAAATCCTTGAAAAGTCGAGGATGTTCCTAGTAATGATTGTACCCTCCATCCGAACTTCAAATGCTCCCAAAGAATATCTATCTTTGTCTCCGCTCAACATCACCCTATAATTCGCCGCATGCATTCTTCAGTTACTCCATGACTTCAATTTTTATTCCGAAATTCAATGTTGGTTCAATTACATACCGTAAAAAGAAATTGAAAAATAAGTAGCGGTCGGTGTTATTACCGTAAAAAGATCTCCAACCATGAAGACGAAGGAACCGGGGGCATACACCATTTGACCCACTTTCCACCTTTGGTTTCGATTTCAATCCTTGAAATCCCATTGTTGCAGAGCACACCACTGCTAAATTTGTCCGTATGAGGCGAAGCCACGTTCGTGTACTTTCCCGACGGAGGGGCTGAATATTTTCATCACTCACAGCAATCGGTAATCTTTCATCAACGACCCATATTTCTCTTCCAAACCGTAACCACAATGATCATCAAACAAATCATACGGCGCAGCTCCTTCATTTCCTTCATCAAACTGTTAATCTTTGGGCTATTAAATGGAAATTCAGATTATATCATGCTAAGTTTTTGTTTTATCATATTGAAGAGGAGGGAAGTGTTTGATTTAATTACCAGAAGCGATGCTGGTCAAGAATCTGCATAAGTCGGGCGAAGCTTATGGTAACGTTTGGTTAACGGAGGTGCAATTAGAGGCATCTTCGAGTCTGAAGCTCTCATAGAAAATAAGAAAGTCGACGCTTGGTTCGTAGTTGCCATGCGAAGGCTTTGTGTTAACGTTTTCCCTCTTCCTCCAATGGGAGATTTTAAAGTTCCCTTGTCATGGAAAAGGTTTCGTCTCGGAGATCAGAAGAAATTTATGGTAAACCACCCAGAAACAGCTTTTTTTTTTTACTTGTATCGCATAGATACGCCCCTGCATCGATCCCCGAGTACCCGCATCCACCGGCATTGCGTCTAATACACGCTGCACCCTGTTGATTTCAAACCACCAGCTCTCTCCAATCGAAACCCACGTCTGAAATCCATTTTCAAAGATGACCAATAACATGCCAATTACCCGATGTTGAAGTAAAAAGATGGTATGCAATACGTCGAGCAAGTTGGGAGCATGCAAAAGATGGATATCGAAAGCGAAAATATCGAGAAAACCTCTGTTTGTTTGATCATTTAACAATGCAATCTGCCTCTTCTCAGTGCAAACAGGAAAAGGTCAGTGAGAGAAAGAGACATGAGAGACTGAATACTGTAACGCATGCCTTTTGGAATTGTGTGATAGTGATATTCGAATTCAATGCTCTTCCCAGAATCCAAATGCCCACATTTCATTTAAACTCAACCGTTCACTTCTCTATCACTGTACATTTGTATTATAGCGGCATAGAGAAAAAGGGATTTGTTAGCATCCGCAATCAGCGAATAGACTGTTACGTGGAGAGCAATGAAATGAACAAAGCAGAGCTGTCAATCCGATTTTTTGAAGAAAAGTTAAGTCCTACAATGTCGTCAATGGAAGGGTAGGGAAGGGAAGGCGTCAGATCGCCCCATCATTATCTCAATTATCAGCATAAGGAGAAAGGGAAAACAAGAAAGCAAACAATATACAAACGTAAATGCAAATTTCTGAAGAGACTGTAGATTTTAGATGCAAAAAAAGTTGTGCGTTGCGATATACTGTTTACTTGGCGTCGTCGGTACTTACTGTCGCTGCTGAGGAATGCCACAGCGCTGAAGTGTTCAGTGTCACCAATTGCATTCTCAGTGCTTCTCTGCCCTCATTTGTCTATTTCTATAAAAACCTCTATAGTTTTGTATTTCTACTTGGATTTATATAATGTATCGTCTATTTCTATATATATATATATATATATATATATAAACATCTCTTTTTCTTTATACAATTTACTAATATTTCTATTTAAATATATATATATACATATTTATACGCAACTTTTAAATAAAAATTGAAATTAAAATACATTCTATTTTATTATGAAATTATTCTGCACAAACTTACGTCACCATATTGACCTCACAAGAGGTTAAGAGATGGATGCAAACTCCCACTCCCAACAAAATTGGTGCATTTACATTGTTCAACAAAAGGGACTATAAACAAAAAACAAAGTCACCGTCGGTAAATATATATATGTATTACATTTTACTATCTTGTTTATTACAGTCGTTGATTCTCTTCCATTGTTCACCAATGTCTCTAGCAATCTTAACGGCGTCAGAAGCCGTTCCTAGAAGGCCTCTTCTTGTAAACCCGACTGTGTACAATCCCTTCTCCGCTTTCCATCCGTCGGGAAACGGCGTTTTCGGCATGCCATCTTTTGTGAAATAATCACATCCCTATATTTCCGTTAGAGAGAAAAAAGTTACTGCCAGTGAAAAGTAAAAGTTTTCGAATATGCATTCTAAATAAGAAATAACTAAAAAAATAACAAAAAAATGTAATAAAAAAAAAGTCGTTAATATCGTACTTTGAGCCACGTAGGCACATTGCTTTTGTATCCTGTTGCCAATATTATTGAATCAATCTCCTTTTCTTGTCCATCCATGAACTTAGCTCCATTTCGTGTTATCTCCTTCACACCTTCCATCACCTGAAATATCTAACAACATCAACTAAAGCACCTGAAAACCCAATAAGAAAGTGATTAATACGCGAAGGTCTGTTTTACCTTAATTTTACCAGACTTTATTTGTGACAATGCACCGACATCGAGCACCGGAGACTTTCCAGTGACATTCTTGAGCTCAATTGGACCTGTTTTCGGCCGCCGAAGACCCGTTCTGTCTGTGTTGCCTAAGATGAAGTTGGATACCAGCAAAAGCAATTTATCCACTAGCTTTACAGGTAACCATTTCAGAAGTGTCATCGCTATACCAAATGTCGAGAAGTCGAACATCTCCCTCGGCAATACATGCACCTATGGAACAAAAATCGAACGGATAATAACATGAGAACATCAAAAACAATCCGAAATGTACAAGTTCGAATATGAAATGAACTTACTGTGTTTCGAACAACCATAAAAGGAATTGCATTGTATCGACAAAGGTCCAAACATACTTCCATGCCAGAGTTACCGCATCCGATAACCAAAACCCTTTGGTTTTTAAACTCGGAGCCAGACTTGTATAAACTCGTATGAACGACGTGACCCTTAAACATATTGATACCCGAAATGTCCGGTATTACAGGCTCGGCATTTTCACCAGTGGCAACAATGAGCCACCTTGAAATGTATTCGGAGTCTTGAGTTTTAACCCGCCAAAACGCTGTAGCATGATCGAACTCGGCGCTTGTCACCGCTTGGTTGAACCTAGGTTGGATTGAGAAACGTGAGGCGTAGGCCTCCATGTAAGAGATGAACTGGTGTTTGGTTGGATACTTTGGGAAATTTTGAGGGAACCCAAGAAGTGGGAGTTGACAAAACTGCTTGGGAAGATGGAGTTTGAGACGATCATAGGTCCGATGTTGCCATAAAGAAGCAATGCAGTCACTTTCTCAAGGATAAGAGAGGGTACACCTTGTTGTTTAAGGCAAGCCGAGGTTGCTAGCCCAGAGGGTCCTGCGCCTACAATAATAGGCCCCTTAACCAAAACACAGGTAGCATCGTTGGGACAATGCTGTCGTTGTTCTTCGTCTTTAAAAGAACCCATGTAGTAAAGAGAGAAAAGGACGACGGTGAAAGGAAGCTTGAAGAAAAAAAGAAAAACCTTAGCAGTTATCTATATTTTACTTCCCCTGTTATTTTCACTCTGTAAAGCTCTGTTTCCTCAATTCATAAAAGTTCCATGTAGACGAGGTGGGATTTTAAAAGCACTCAAGAGAGAAACTGAAGAGTCAACGGAGGGAAGGGATCATAATTGAGGATTATTAATGCAGGCAAAAACATAGAAAAGCAAACAAAAGAGAGATAACAGGGAATTTCTCTTTATGATTGTAAGTAGGGAGTAATTAATTTTAGCAGTGAGCAATAGAAGGTCATAGGTATTAGCGGAGGCGTGAAGGTTAAGGAAATGGATTTGTTATGTTTCTCAAGGTTGATTTTTCTCTGCTTCTGAGTTCTTCCTGCAGATTTTATTTTTTACTTCTTTTGTTGTAATTCAAAGTGAAGCAAACTGAGAAATAATCCACTTGTTAGTTGCTTGTTCATGTGAATCTGAAATTTATTACTTTTTCGACTTTATGTTTTCTTTTTCATATTTAAACAACTATAATATTACTCGATACATTCTGATTCTTTTTTTGCGCCTATTAATCCATTGAAATATTAATTCAAATCTTCGGTTTTTTAATTCAAATATTACAAAAAGGTTAATACTTTTATATTGTTTTTTGAATTAATATTTTTTACCTTTTATGTTATATAAATATATATTTTAAAAACATATTATTTTATTAAACATATTTACTTATGTGACAGAAATCAATGAGCCTATAAAAATTAAATCATGATGAAAAAACTGATGAAATTATATATATATATATATATATATATATATAATATATATATATATATATATATATGTACATGTGAATTTTATTCAAAAGTTCTGTTTTGAAAACTGGACCAGACCGGTCGGTTCAACCGGAAACCGTTGCTTAGTCCGATTCAATCTAAATCGGTTTAACCGCTATTAGTGAACCGGTCAGAACCGCTGAACCGTTCGAACTGGACCGTCCAAAAACCGGAAAAAACCAGAAAAAACCGGGAAAAACCGGGATTTTTGTTTTTTTTTTTTAATAAACCAAACAACGTCGTTTGTTAAACTAGCCAAGTCGAACTCGAGTATTGCTGAGCTCGACTCGAACTTGAAAACTTTAAAAGTAAGCTCAACTCAACTCAAACTCACAAGCTAAAAATTATTAAGTTCAACTCAAACTCGAAATATAATATTGAAACTTGAACTCAAAAAAAAATTAGAA